GGGGGGTGCTTGGTGCGGGGCTGGGGGCAGATCCTTGGGGGTCCCCAGCGCCCGCCTGTGACCCGTTGCTGTGCCCGCAGGGAGAGCCAGGTGGAGCTGCGGGAGCACATCGACAGCCTGGCCACGGGTGAGCCGCGGGGGGCAGGCAGGGTCTGTCTGGGGGATGGGGAGAAGGGCTGTCTAGTGCCGGTGTGCTGCAGGGGCCACCCGGGGAGGGGCGTGGTCCTTGCAGGGTGCTGCAGCGCTGCTCCTCCCCCAGAGTTGTGCCGGATCAATGAGGACCAGAAGGTCGCACTGGACTTGGACCCGTATGTGAAGAAGCTGCTGAACGCGCGGCGCCGCGTCGTGCTGGTCAACAACATCCTGCAGAACGCGCAGGTGGGTGCGGGGCCGGCTGCCATGCCTCTGGCCAGGGCTCAGGAACAAGGTGGCAGAGAGGGACTTCCCCTCCTGCTGGAGGCCCTTGGTGCTTCTGACAGGGCTCAGGACAGGGGCTGGCGTTTGCGCCCCTGGCTGAATACCCCACCACCCCTGTGGCAGAGGAACACTAGCAGTCATGGCTTCCCTTGTAGAGGGCGCTGCAAGAAGATGGAACTGAAGAGTTGTCTCTTGCTTGAACAGTGCTGGCACTGTTGGCACTGTACATGTAGGTGCCTTGCCCCAAGCTGTCAGTCTCTGCCAGGCCACCAGCCTCAGCAAGCCCCTGCGCGAGTCAGCTTCCAGAGCCATCTCTGCTCTGCTAGGCAGCCCTTGCAGGGTCAGGCTTACAGCCCTCATAGCTCTGCCTGCCTTGATGACTATGCTCTCACCTGCAGGAGCGGCTGCGGAGACTCAACCACAGCGTAGCCAAGGAGACGGCGCGTAGGAAGGCCATGCTGGAGTCAGGGGGCTACCCGCAGGGTTCCCCCAGCAAGTGATGCCGCTGGGTCCAGGCTGCCATGCTGGATTGAGCAGATTGCAGTGGGACCCCCAGCTCATACTGACTGCCCCAAGGGCTGGTCCAGGCCCACAAGCCAATGGCTGAGGAGAGTTGGCTCCCCACAGCTCCTGTTGTCGTCAGTGCCAAGGCCACCTGGGCCAGCAGCAGGCAGCTTCTTGCTCTGGGGCTTGCCTACATGGAGGGGAGGGGATATGGTTCTGCATACCTGCCCCCTGGGCTGGCTGAGACAGCACGCACTAACCCCAGCTCCATGTACTGTACCTCTAGGCTCCAGGTGGCACAATAAAGTGACCCCCCCGCTTGCAAACGCTGAGTGAATAGTGCCCTGTCTGCACCCGCACAGCCCCAGGGGTTGGCTCTGTCACTGCAGCAGCACCCACCACTGCAAGCCCTTGCAGTAACTGTAAGACCACGTGGCCTCCAGGTCTGCTTCCCCCCCAAGCGGCTGCACCCACGTCACAACCCCGGGCTCCTCCAAAAAGGGCTGCACACCCTGCTCCAAGTCAGCCATGGGGGCCTGAGGCCAGACCCCCAAACCCTGGCTCCTGGAGCACAGAACTGTTCCAGGGCCTGCTCCTGCACCCAGACGTCAGAGCCACATAAAAGGGCAGAACTTTTTAATGTTAAACTATAAAAACCACAACAAAATACAAGTGTCGGTTGACGTAGGGTGATGCGGTGGGATATGATGCTCACTGTAGGGGAGGACAGCCTGGCCTCTGTTCCTCTGTCCACAGACCGGACATGTCCTGCAAGAGAAGCAGGCAAGTACCTGTCAGGGGAGCTGCAGGGCGGGCTGGTGGCCTCCTGCTGCAAAAGGGAGGTGGCTTGGAGGGGACAAAGATGTCCTGGAGCTGGTGGGACCCCAGCCACAGCCCCAAGGGACATCCCCCTCACCCCAGCACAACTAAAGCCAGATCACCAAGTCTGGCTTTGCCCCCAGGATGAGAGGAACTGCAGTGGAAATGGGGTGGGTATCTAACACTTCCACATGCAGTGGCCTGGGGGGCTATGGGAGGCAAAGTGCTGTACCCAGCACTTCAGTGACATGGCTGCACTGCACCCCTGTGCTTCAGTCAGGCTTTACCTGGACGGGTCATTCCTGAGTCTCCATGCTTTCTTCCTCTTCTCCTGCTGCTGTCTCCTCTTGATTCTCCTCTTCCTCTTCTCCTTCCTTCTTCTCCGGGGGCTTCTCATACGCCTTCTCAGAAGGCGTCACTATCACACCATCCCAAGTGGACATTTCCGAAGCCAGGTCTGCAAACAGAAGCAGCGTCAGCAGGTGGTGACCCACCAGCGTGGCCCCCATTGCCACATGCATCATCACAGCATTCACCAGAACAGGGAACTAACGAGCACTGCCAGGAACAAAAACAGAAGAGCATAACCTACAGAACCAGGCTTTGCTCCTGCTGGCAGGGCTCACAAGGAGGAAGTTGAGGTGGCCCCTGAGCCAGACACACATGCTTTGGGCAGCAAGCTTTTTGTGCCTGCCCACTTCCTGCCTCAGTGGCCAGCTCCTGAGTCACAAGGCAGCATTTACTGCAGAGCAGCAACCTGCATCCAGCAGGGAACTTGTACTGATTCCTGGCTGCTTGCTCAGCCTCCTGGCTTGGCCCAATCTGGGACGGCCTCTTCCATGGCATGTTTGTGTTGAGCCTCTAGCCACAAACCCTTTGCGTGGAAGGGCTCATTTCCCCATCAGTCTAGTAACGGAACAGTGTGCTATTCTCCCCCACCCCCCAAAACATGGGGTGTGACACTCAACAGCAACAGCTCTCGGTGTCCCTGGCGCACACTGGTCCTGCCAATCAGCAGTCGTGACACACTAACTTACAGCTAGCATCACCCTCCTGTCCCAGGATCTTCCTGTAGCCTCCATGCGAGAGGATCCGGACGAGCGTCTGTGCAGTGTAACACACCATGTCCTATGAGGGGTAAGTGGGAGAATCAGTGTGTGCTGGAGTCACCGCACTGGTCTTGGACAGGTCTGATGCAGTGTCACAGTCGGAGGTTATGCTGCCCCAGATGTGTGTGTAGCCAAGACTCTAACCCATCCTGCAGAGGGTGGGTCTACTCCAGCCCCAGGAAGAGGCAGTAGCCCTCTAACACTCTCTTCAGTAGACTAGTTTGTTAATCAGGAATGAGGGGCTGTGGAAGTTTCTTATTCCAAGGCAGTGGGTTCCACCAGTTCCTGCCCCATCCCAGCAATCAAATCACCCTCCTCCCAACCAACTACAGCAAAGGGTGCTCACGCCCCTTGCGCCACTTCAGCTAAACTAGCCAAGAGGCCATCTAAGGCACCAGGTATGCTTCATACTGTACATACATCCCCTTCCCCAAAGCCCCAACAACTCCTAGTCTGTAAGAGAGGCAAGGTACAGACTGGGATCTAGGCAGTTTCATAGGGGTGCAGCACTAGCGAGCTGCATTAGCTTTCCTCACCTGCTGTTCAAGGGTCATGACCGTGTGGACTCTGAAGTTCCCACTCTCACAGGGATCGGTAATTCCGACAGAGCCGGGGAGGAACAGCCCGGCTGCCAGGATCTGAAGGCAACGCCTATGGGACAATTAGAGGTTACCAACTAGCGGGTACATTTTAGACACCACACAACCCCGTATATTGGCTTGGTGATGCAACAAGTCCAATCTGCTGCCCCACCCAGCAAGTCACTATCATGTCTGGTCCCTGCGTTGGAGACTTGGGCAAGGGTAGCAGCTAGCTAGAAGCATCTGCTTTGGCAAGTAAATGTGCCAAAAGGCTCTGAGTTCTCTCAGTCTGAAGTATGTTCAAGGTGGGAAACTCAGAGCTCTGAGCAAATCCAGAGGAAAGTTTTGGTTTGGTCTGCAAGGCACTGTGCTATAGCTGCCATACCTGTAAGCCACGTTGAGAGCCAGGGGCTGCCTGGTGGGATTGTTCATCACAGCATAGTGCCCCTGCAGGAAAGGGGAGAAGAACGTGGTTAGATACAAGACTCTATTTTAGGAAAGGACAAGTTTAAGCCTCCACAATCCCATGGTGGCAGAAGTTATACGTCCCAGGGCTTATTCCACACCGGGGCTGCGTCTTTCACACTGGAGGAATTGACCCTAGAGCATGTTCTCTCCACATCCTCTGCGGAATGGAAGCGCACCCCCCATGCTTGGCTGCACTGGCCAGGGAAGCCCAATT